GCAGCGCGCACGCTGTGCCCACCCCTGGCCAGTCGCGTCTGGGCTGGGCACAGCATGCGCGCTGCTGGGTCCCCGCAGCAGGCCCAGGCTCGGAGGGTTCGGGGGCACCAGAGCCGCAGCCGCCGAGCTTGGTTATGGGCCGCTTCCTCCCCCCGTGGCAGTGGGAGCTGCAGCAGCGGCTGCTCCCGAGTCCCGCTGCCCGGGGAGGAGAACAGCCGCCGCCTGGCCCCGCGGGCCGCCCCCCTCCTCTCCCTACCACCCAACTGAGTCCTGCCTGCTCGGGGCCAGGCCGGACTCTCAGTCACCTTGACCCCGCGCTTCCCCTGCGTCTCCCGGGCCTCCCTCCAGCGCTTGTAGAGGAAGGGTTTTTTTTTTGGTTTTTTTGCCCCGCCCCCCCGCCCCCCCGCGTCTCCCTCCCCCCCCACATCCCGATATTTGACTTGGGTGATCTGGTCACCCTAGATCAACTTACGGTGGTGTCTTCACCGCAGTGAGTCGACTGCTGACGCTCCCCCGTCGACTCTGCCTGCACCTCTCGCCGAGCTGGAGTACAGGAGTCGACGGGAGAGTGCTCGGGGGGGGGGGTCGATTAATCGTGTCTAGACGCAATAAATCAACCCCCGCTGGATCAATCGCTGCCCGCCGATCTGGCGGGTAGTGTAGACATACCCTAAAATTCATTTGCAAATTTAACATCATTAATTTGGGCTTGAATAGGTTGGGGTTGAATAGGGACTGAGAGTGGCTGGCTCATTACAAAAGCAGCTTTGCATCTCCTGGAACTGACACCTCCTCATCTATTATTGAGAGTGGACTACATCCACCCTGATCAAATTGGCCCTGTCAACACTGGTTCTCCGCTTGTGAGGTAACTCCCTTCTCTTCATTTATGCCTGCATCTGTAATTTTCACTCCATGCATCTGAAGAAGTGGGTTTTTTACCCGCAAAAGCTTATGCCCAAATAAATCTGTTAGTCTTTAAGGTGCCACCGGACTCCTTGTTGTTTGTACTCGGGCACGGCCATCTCTAGCATCAGATGAACTACTCCAATGCTGCACCACCATGGATGAGCTTCCCAGAGAAGAGGAGACTGCCAGGATGGCGGGAGCTGGGCAGCCGGAGAGTGGCGGTTGCTGGCTGGGCAACCAGCTCTGGGAGGGATGCTCCGGGGGGGGTGAGACAAATTTTGGGGTGGCTATAGTCTCCGCAAATCTCCCCTTGCGCCACCCCTGTTTGTAAAATTATAATGTGGTACGAAACTCGGCGGAGGGGCCAGGTCCCCACTTCCCTCCCTAAATGGCGCCCCGCTCCAGGAGCTGGGGCTTCAATAAAACGACCCAAAATTGCGAGGCTCATGAAAAAACTAACAAGAGTTGGCAAAACTGTTGGACTAAACTCTATAATGGAGATCTGCAAAACAATAAACAGCCATACTTTGCACTTTACAACCATAGATCTGAAAGTACTTTACACAGAAGTAGAAGCATTACTATTTGTATTTTAAAGATGGGGAAACTGAGGCACAGAGCGGGTGTGTGAATTGCCCAAGGTGACACAGCAAGTCAGTAGTAGAACCAGGAAAACAACTCAGGGCTCTGACTCTCACAACCATATCTTTGCACTTCACCAAGCTGCTTCCCAAGAAGTAAGCATGCTACAGAAAGCATAACATCTCTAGTTCCACTGACACCCCTTCCTGTCTCCAAAACTGGGTAGCCTCACCTTGCAGAAATGATACAAGGGACCCAGAAAGGGGGCACGTCATGGAACCACTTCTCCCCTTCTATGCCCCTAAGCTGAGTTCTCCTTGCTTTGCATCCTTTCCTGCCATAAAGCACTGTGGAGAATCCATCCCTTTGCAATTACGTGCCTTTGATTAAATAAAACATTCTGATGACATTAGGGTGTGGCTCCTACCAGCCTCCTTCTACACTCCTTACTTATGATGAACTTGTATTTCATATAATTGGAATTACATGGGTGGATAAGATGTTACTCAGCATCAAAGTAAGAGAATAATAATTGTATTATTATTTATAATTTGTATTTATCGTAGCCGAGCCAGCCAGCCTAGGAACCTAGTTATGGACCAGGACTCCATTGTGCTAGGTGCTGTACACACACAGAGCAAAAAGACAGTCCCTGTCCCGAAGAGCTTACAATCTAAATATAAGGCAGAGACAACAGATGGATACAGACAGATGGGGAGTACAAGGAAACAAATGAGACAGTATTGGCCAGCATGATAGGCTGTCATCTCAGCACTCCAGCAGCCTAACCATTGCCAATTTTTGGTAGGGATCATGACCAAGGAGCGTTAAAGGGGTTTTGAAGGAGGACAATGAGTAAGTTTTACGGATGTTTACAGTGAGCTTCTCCCGAGGGTGAGGGGCAGCGTGGGAGAAAGCACAAAAGTTGCCGGTTTGCCCTTACACCCAGTTCCTGCATGTATTTACATAGATTAGGAGCTTTGCACACAAGTAGTCCCACTGAGCACAATGGATCTACTCACATGTGTAAAGTTACTCACATGTGTAAAAAGCAACAGAGGGTCCTGTGGCACCTTTGAGACTAACAGAAGTATTGGGAGCATAAGCTTTCGTGGGTAAGAACCTCACTTGCATCTGAAGAAGTGAGGTTCTTACCCAC